GGGGGCGCGCGCGCGCGCGCGCGCAGCTCCCTCCGGGCCCACCGCCCGGGCAGAGGGGCCGCGGGAAGGCACGGGTGGGGGCCCTGGGGCGGTGGGCCCAGAGGGCGCCTTCTGCCAGGTGGGGGCCCAGGCAGCCTCGGCTCCGGAAGTCTGAAGCGCCCTAAGAAGCCCCCAGGCTTCCCCCTGAAGAGGGCTTAGGAAGGAGACAGTGGGAGTGCTGGGGGAAACCCGGAGACGCAGCCCTGTGCAGGTGCCCAGGGACGGGGTAAGAGGAGGCCCAGGCAGGGACCCTGCGCTGCTTCCTGGTCTTGCGCTGTGAAGGGCCAGGCCCACAGAAGCTGTAAAGTCGTGGGGACTTCCTCCATGTTATATTTTTTTTATTTTTATTTTTTTAAGAGAGATTTTTGTCATAAGGTGTGTGTGCTTGCCAGAGACAGAGAAAGAGAGACAGAAAGTGAGAAATTACCGCACCAGGACGGCCACACCGAAATCCCTTCTCTATTCTCTTCCCGGGATTTGGGGCACGCATGAGCACACACACGTGCCCGGCACTGAGTTTCAAGCCTCCAGGTCCAGGACGCAGACTGTTGTTAACCACGTGGGAGTCCAGTGACATAACCATTATGCCATCTGCTGGTCCCCCTTGTTTGTTTTAAATAACTTAAAATTGGGACCATCAGGTGGCATGGTGGTTAAGGTGCTGGACACTCCCACATGGCTGACCATGGTTCGAGTCCTGGACCTGGTGGATTGCTTTCTCACTTTCCTCCTCTTTCTCTCTGGTCAAATCAAAATAAAATGAATGAATGAGTAAAAGCAAATAAGTAATTTTTTAAAATAACCTAAAATTATTATTAAACTATTTATTGACATTAAATCATATATAAATCCTGTAGACTTACATTGTTATAATTAAATCATTATTTTAAATGATTTTAAAGTAAATAAAATTTTTCCTTAAGATACTTTTCCAGACCACAAGATGGCATACTGTTTACATGGCTAGACTCCCACACGGTGACTATGGTTTGAGGTCCTTGAAACTCATGCTGGGCACATGTACATGCATGCCCTAAATCCCAAGAGAATGGAGGAGAAGGGATTGCAGCGTGGCCATCTTCCCTGGGGGGTGATTTCTTGCTTTCTGTCTCTCTGTCTCTCTGGCAAGTGCACATGCCCTATAGCAAAAGTCTCTCTAAAATAATAATAATAATAATAATTTTTTAAAAAGAACGTGTGTCGCTAACCAGAGAGAAGAGAGTGAGAAGCACCCACGGTGGGGCAGGATCACGTGACAGTCCCCGCTTCCCCATCTCTCCCTCCCGTTGGGATTGAGCACAGACACATGCGCGCCTGGGACGGACTGGGATTCGAGCTCCAGGGTCGGCCACGTGGGATCCGGCGTTGCTATGTGCTGACCGGCTACGCCACAAGCCAGCCCTAAGATTCTTGGTTTTTTTGTTTATTTGTTTTTCCAGAATTTATTTATTTCTTCCATGAGGGAGAGAGGGTGACCCGGCACGGCAGCCCCAGCAAGGCTTTGACACCGCAATTCACCCCCAGCCTTCACCGTGCACCTGGTGTACTCAGGGAGGTTTCTGGACTCGGGAGTGTTCAGACTTGAACCCGGCACCTTCCTATGTGGGATCCCCTTGCAGAGGGTCAGGTTTTACCACTGTGCCGCAGCCCGTCCGGCCCCTTCTTGTTTGTATTGTTAGGTTTTAAGATGAGAGGTCTTGAGTGATTTTTTTTTTTAAATACAGGAGCAGGCCAGGCAGTGGCATGGCGACAGTACAAGTGGACCCCATGGGCAGGGTCCTGGGCTCACTTCCCAGGACTCACTGAGCGTGCGGGTCCAGCACTGCCCGGACACTGGGGTGCCGGACACTGGGGTGTGTCTCCTCTCTCTCTCTCACTGGAATCCCCCCACCAGCTTAAAAAACACTCCAGGCACCTCTTGAACATGCCCAAACCTTGACAGGATGGAGAAAAAGAACGGTGGGGAGACCACGCCCCTTGGAGTCTCTCTCTCTCTCTCACCAGTGCAGGTACCCTCTGTCAATCAGTGAATCGATTCAAAAATACAGGGACAAAGTGGCGAGGTCAAGGTAGGGGCACGGGTCCCAAAGCCCTAAACGCCGAAGGGCGCTTCATTCTCCCAGGCAACGCGGAGAGTGGAAGCAGGTCCAGGTGGGCGGGCACCCATTAGGGTCTGTGAATCCGGAGGGGTCTGATTTTGCTCGGGGTCAGGAGTGCGACAGCATCATGGGGACAGGGAGGGGGAGAGCACCCGTGTGGACCGGGTGCCCTCTGGTGCCACCGGCGGACTGGAGAACCAGGTGGCCGTGCCCTGCCGGCAAGCAGCGCCTGTCTCCGCTCGGGTTGCGTCCTTGCCCCCTCCCCGCCAGGCCCCCTCCTCGCAGGAAGGACGGGCCCCGCAGCCCCGAGCACGCACCTTGTGGAGGTCGGCGGCCAGCGCGCCCACGAAGTCCGCCTCGCGCTCCTGGATCATGCGCCGCAGCGCCTCCAGCTGCTGGAGCCGGTACCGCAGGCGCGCCGCCTCCACTTGCGGGAGCCGGTACTGCAGCGGGCGCGTCCTGCCCGACTTGAAGGCCGCCCGGGCCCGCTTCACGACCTCGCTGATCTTGCTCATGGTGCCTGGAAAGAGAGCGGCGCTTTGCAGCAGGGGCCGGACGACCCTCTGCCCTGCCACCACGTCTGAATGCTCTTGCCTTTCTCGTCAGCTCCCTAGCTCCCCACCTGGGCCCTCTTGGCTGTGGAGGTAGTCCTGGGCAGGTGACACCGAGCCACCCGAGGGCTAGGAGCTATGACAGTGGAGCCTGTCCGTGCCCCAGGGCCGACCGTGGGTTCTTGGCCACGCGCAGGGGCAGGGCCCTTGGCGTCTCTCCAGCCCCACTCCTGCCCCTACCTGCTTGCCGAGCTCGGGACACTCCCAGCAAACACGGGAGCGCTCTGCATAGTCAGCCCTTTCCAGATTAGATTAGAGCGCGGCTCACCACTCCGCGCCCAGCTGACTAAGGAGCCCAGGGCCCAGACCTTTCTAGGGAGGCCATGGCTGTCAACAGCACCAGCTACTGGGCAGAGCTGACCCAGGCTCCTTTCCTCACCGGTGGGAGCCACACCCGTGAGACGCAGACCTGCACCAGCAAAGCGCTCGCAGGGCTTCAGATTTCTTTTCCTTTTTAACTTTTTTTTTTTGGCCGTAGGGCACATGTACTCACCAGAGAGGGAGAAAGAGAGAGAGAGGGAGAAAGAGAGAGCGAGCCATCCCTCCTGGGGCGATGGCTAGGCCAAAATCCCTTCTCCTCCTGGGGTCTTGGGCACACATGCACATGTACCCAGTGTGATTTTCGAGTTGCCAGGTCTGGTCATCGGACCTCTGCTGACCATGTGGGATTCCAGCACCTTACCCTCCATGCCACCTGCCAGCCCCTCCTTTTTAACTTTTAAAAAATTTTATTCAGGGACCAGAAGATGGCATAATGGTTTCATTGCTGGACTTCCACATAGTCAACCGTGGTTCGAGTCCCAGACCCTGCGACTTAAAACTCATGCCAGGTGTGTGTGTGCGTGCCCAAAACCCTGGGAGGAGAATGGAGGAGAAAGGGTTGGGCTATAGCCACTCCCGGAGGGTAGGGGGATTTCTTGCTTCCTGTCTCTCTGTCTCTCTGGTGAGCATGCATGCCCTACAGCAAAAATAGCTCTTAAAAAAACACAAACTTTGGGGGCCAGTAAGTGGCGTGGTGGCTAGGGGCGCTGGACGCCCACATGGCCGACAGTAGTTCAAGTACCGGGTCTGGCAGCTCGCTTTCTTCACTTTCCCTCTCTCTCTCTGTCCCTTTCTGGTCAAATTAAAATAAATAAATATTTAAATAAAAGCTCAATAAAATAACCCTTAAAAAAACTTTATTCAGGAGCAGCAGGTGGCATGGAGGGTAGGGTGCTGGATCCCACATGGCCGACTACATAGTTTGAGTCCCGGACCCAGCAGCCTGAAAATCACACCAACCACATGTGTGTTCCCAAGATCCCAAGAGAAGAATGGAGAAGATATCTTAGCTTGTCCATAGCCTGGGGGATGATTTCTCTCTTTCTCTCTCTAACAAGTACATGCACATAGCAAAAACTAAAAAAGAAAAGAAAAGAAAAAGGAAATTTATTTTTCCATTTCTTCTTTGAGAGAGACAGGAACTCCCAACGGGCCCCTGGGATCCACCCCATTTTCAGCCAGCCTGGATCACAGGCATGTGCAGGGAGGCGAACCCAGGACCTCTCCCATGTGGGCCCAGTTTTACTGCGCTACACCACCACTCACCCTTCATTTACATTGTTTTATAGGAAGGCTCTTGCTACGCTGCCCAGGCCAGCCTCTGGCGCCTGATCTGCAGCCGCAGCATCCTAGCCCCACTGCGTCA